CAATTGATTAAGGGTGAAGTAATCAATCGCTTGCCACAAATCAAGAGCGTCATGGCCGTGATAAGAATAAGGCAAATACAATTGCAATTGGCAAACGAAGCACAAAACATGCCCATAAATAGGCAAAAGCAGAGCCGCAAAGCGTGTTGGGAGCAGCCAAACGCCAAATGAAAGTGAGATAAAGACAAAGAGTGCAAAAGATAGAGAGAGAGGAAGTACGGTAGAGAGAAAGAGAGAGAGGGAGTGGTCTGGCAGGTCTGGTCGCGTTTTGGCAAGGTCGTAACTAATCTATCATTAGCTGATCACAATTTATATTGTTATTTATATATTTGTCAGCCTGAATACCCCTAATGGTGGCGCTGTTAAAATAACATTTTATAGAGTTCGTTTGTCAATAACCTCAACTTTTATTACTGATAACGCTTTTCACACCTTTACTCTGCTGTTTACATAGGTCAATTAACGATTCGACATATCAGAAATCAGCGAAAAATCACATAGATAACGCTCTCGTAGCACCACCCATTATAATGATTGTACCAATTGAAATGCCCCATCGCATTTACATTTGTTTATTAACCAGATATACAAGTATTTGGTCTCATGCGAGTTCGAGTTGTTGTTGTTCTCGCGCCTCAGACAGACAGAAAAATAAAGGGTTACAAATTATTATGATGTCATTTAACATGACTCAATCCACGTATGTCGTGTGTCAGTTTGCCAGATGATTGCTTAGGACCAGCACCCCCTTGATACTATATATAGCATATATCAAATAACCAAAACTCTGTCAGGTCACAGAAAAAAAAGGGAACTTAAAGGGGAGGTAAATTAAATAAATGAAACAGTGTGGATAAAAATATATATTTAAATAACAAATATATGTATTTAAAAAAAATAAATAAATAAATAAATAAAAAATATAATAAAAATAATAATAAAAAATAATACAAAAATAAAAAATAAAAAATAAAATAATAATAACAAATAAAATAAAAGCATAATAAAAAATAGATATGTATAAAAATGAATATAATAAATACATTTTTATTAATATGCATGCATACCTATGTATTTTAGTTTTACAACGAGTTCGCTTAAGCTCGAATTTAGAGCACTACGATTATTTACGCTCTACTGGACAGCAAACATAATTTCTACATGTACATACATACAATGTATGTGACAAGATCTATACGAATGAATTAGTACTTCAGATCTCTACTCAAATTTAATAGTAGCACCTCATTTGAAAAGCATCTAAAAATCTTATAAAATATGTAATAATATTTTATTTCATTTAATAATATTTAATGTGTATATATTTTAAGT